CGATCAGCAGGTTTGAGTGTAGCGTACGTACCCCCAACCATCCCGTATCATCCCGGCAACGGACGAAAGCGTCGAGATCTTGTCCTGCGCGGCTGGCGTGATCGCGAAGCATTCGACGGCATGACGTGGTAGTGGAGTCGGCGTACTAGCTCCACTCCCGCAAGGCTGAATATATATCTCCAGAGCGTGGCATGGTCGAGATAGCCGCGGGTGGCATGCACGTTGTGCTGCACTGCCTGCAGCTGCCAGCGCAAAGGGTACTGTCGGCCGTCGGAGTGTGTTCGGACGTGTTGAGGTTCAACAGAAGGCGGGGCGGGGTAAACCGCGACGCTAACATCACGTTTGATCAACATTCCATGTTTCAAGGCGGATATCGGAGCGGAGAGAAGACGACCGAAGTCAGCAGAAGGTCCAGTCACGCGTGCAGTGAGGAGGCATGAGGGTGTGGACGCAGCGCATGTGCAGCCCGTGTGATAAGAAGAGGCTGTCTACTATCCAACCTCCCACCACATGCTGCACATGAGAGTACATGCTGCACATGGGCAGAGCAGCTGGTGAACGGTACCAGGTTTTTCAGTGCAGTGTGCCAACCTCTCGTCAGTGAGTGTGCCAAAATCTGCTGTTGGTGCTGTGGACCCAATCACTACTGGCGGGCTTCGCGCGATAAGACGACACGCACCGCACAACACCATCACTGTTCTCGGCCCTGGCTAGTGTACCTAACAATAAACCTTCTGGATTGTCTTCTGGCCTGTCCTGTTCGTCTCACAGGACTCGACCCCGCAGTGACACAGCTTCGGTTCGCTCGCTTCATGGCCAGCAGTTCGACACCCTGGCACTCCCACCGTGAGGGTGCCACTATGAGGATGCCGCTATGAGGGTGCTGACAGCGCGCTCTGCACCAGCGATCAAAACACGTCCCTCTCCACTCCACCAATGCACGCAAACCCACCTCCCCACGCCTTCACCGAATCGCATGGTGACGCGTGCCATGCGTGGAGCTCACTTGGCCCTACGTGGAGTCTCGTTTGGTGAAAGCACACCGCTCGGCGATACTACGACTCCGCTTCTCACGCGTGACGTGTTGTTTATGCGCGTCGAGTGGGCAACAACACAGAACTTTCTTTTCCACTCCTCGCAATCACCACAACACTTAAGCGGCGGATGTCTGCGAGTAAAGCGTCTGGAGGGCGTCTGGGTCGAATCGACTTTGGTGTCATTCCCATGGTTTGGGAGGGCGTTGTGCAGTGTGGAAGCCATGCAGCGTCAACGGCCCGCACCCGCTAGCGAGCCATGTTTTCTTGGCGTAAACAAAGCTGGACCGCCGAGGAGCGCCCTCCGCAGCCGAATTATTATGAGGCCATTGGCACGCCGTAGATAGTTTGCAACCGTGTTCACAAACCCAATTGCCCTCTGCACAAAGCAAAAATTGATCTCCGCCGCACCCCACCTACACCGCCCCGCTGCCGTTCGCTCCATCTCGAGTCAGTGGAGCTGATGTTTTCTTGCACTGCCTCGTCCGACGACCTCCGCCGGTAGCAATTTCAGCTTCAATCTCCCCACGCAACGATCCCATAGCACCCAAACTCGTCGCCCTCGTGGGCTTACCCAACCATGGACGACGGTCCTCCACCTCCGCCGCCTCCGCATGGCGCAAACCCAAAGACTACAGGCGGCAGCCATGCACCTCCCGACCCCGGCCCAAGCGGCGGCCTGCCACCGGGCAACTACGACATCTTCATCATACCGCCGCATTCTTCAGGAGGCGGCTTCATATATCTTCCTAGCATGGGCGTGCAGCAGAACAGCTTCATTGCGGGTGTGCTCAGCACCATCGCGAGCATCGTGCTGTGGAAGGCCGCTGAGCCTTACATGAAGCAATATTTCCTCATAGTCCGACATGGAGTCACGACTGGCGGCAATGGCGTCATACTGCTTGCGGTCCTGATGTTGGTTGCCGGATGGGCAGTTGGTCAGACACAAGCAGGGGGTCGGTTTAGCAGTGGCGGAGGGGGCTATGGCCGTGGTGGAGCGGGAGCTGGAGCTGGCACACATACACCAGGCGGAAGCTCAAGCTATCAACGAGCGCCTCCACCACCGCCTCCAAACGGCGGCTTCCCCGGCAGTCCTCCACCCCACGGCGGGTGGGGTGGATACCGTCAATACGGGGCTGGCTCGCCGCCACCACCACCTCAAGACGACGAACCGTCCTTCGACGAAGAGGCCGAGCGAGCCGAAGAGGAGCGGAAACAAGCAGAGGAAAAGGAGAAGCGCCGGAAAGAGAAGGAGGAAAAGAAACGGCAAGAGGAAGAGGAGCGCAAACAGAAAGAGGAAGAGCGCAAGAAAGCTGAGGAAGCCAAGAAGAAGCAGGAAGAGGAAGAAGCCGAACGCAAGCGCGCCGAAGAGGCAGAGGAAAAGAAGAAACAGGAAGAGGAGCTTAGGAAGAAACAAGAGGCGGATCTCAAGAAGAAGCTCAAGAAGGAGCTCAAGGAGGCTGAGGAGGCTAAGCGGAGAGAGGAAGAAGAAGAGCGCAAGCGTGCTGAAGAAGCCAAACGACAGGCCGAAGAAGAGGCTCGACGGCAGCGTGAAGCTGAAGAGCAGAGGCTAGCTGAAGAAGAGAGGAAGAAGCGTGAGGCCGAGGCACAGAGACTGGCCGAAGAGGAGAAGAAACGACAAGAAGAAGCTGAGCGCCAACGCATCGCTGAAGAGGAACGCAAGGCCGAAGAAGAGCGCAAACTCGCTGAGGAGGCTCGGATACGCGCTGAAGAGGAGAAGAAGAAGAAGGACGAAGAGGACCGCAGACGAGCCTGGGAAGAACTCAAGCGCGCAGAAGAGGCCCGACAGAAGAAGGAGGCTGAAGAAAAGGCCAAGGCAGAGGCAGCCAAAGCCGCCAAAGCCAAGGCCGAAAAGGAGAAGTGGGAGCAGATGCGGAAGCGTGAGCGTGAGCAACGCGAACGTGAAGCCCGCGAGCGCCTCGCCAAAGAGAAAGCCCGCAAGGCACAAGAAGCCATTGAGAAGGAGAAGGCCGAACGCGAGGCTCGCGAGGCTGAAGTACGCGCCGCAGTCGAGAAGGAGATTCGCGAGAAGCTCGAGGCCGAACAACGCGCCAAAGCCGCCGAGGAGGCCGCCAGAAAGGCTGAAGCAGAGAAGATTGCCGCCGAAGAGGCTGCCGCTAAAGCGAAGGCTGAAGCAGAGGCTGCTCTTGCGAAAGCGAAGACAGATGCTGAGCGCGCCGAGCGCCTCAAAGCAGCTCGTGAGCGAGCTCAAAAGGACCGTGAAGCCCGCGAAGCAAAACTCAAAGCAGAAGCCGAACGCATCAAGGCCGAAGCCGCTACCGCAGCAGCCACAGCCGCAGTTCCCGACCTCACAGCCCGCCGCTCAACTACTTATGGTAATGTTGGTGGAGGTGAACGTCTCGATCCATATGCTGGAGCAAGAAGTACACCACCGCCCGCCGCATCCGTTACGTCCACACATTCTTCTCCCATCAAAGCCACCGTCACACCCAAGAAACCCTACGAACGCCCCACAGCCGCATCTTACCTCGGCTCCGAATCCGACGCCGCATCTTTCGTTCCGCCCCGGACTGCCACAGGACCTGCTCGCAGCACAGCAACCCGGTCTCACGTCTCGAGCGCATACTCTGAGTCCTCGTACGCACCTTCACAGTCTACAACTCGCACATCGCCGCCTGCGTCTAGGTCAGGACCGTACGCAACAGCCGACCCGAACAAGATCGTTATCAAAGCAGTGTATCTGTTCAATGATCTGTTTCCTAAACCAGTGGCGCAGTTGGTCTCTAATGTGGGCAAGGTTACCGATGGCTTGATCCTCAAGATACAGTCTGAGGGATTGTTCATCGATGATGATGTCCGAGGTATTCCGCAGAGAGAGTGGGATGTAAAGGCTTGGACGTTGAAGATGGTTGAGGTATGTTGTCAAACTTTAATGTCTTTCATGGGACTGTACTAACAAATATCACAGACGGGCAAACAACCCACCAAAAACCTGCACATACTCCGCGCCTCGGTCCGCGATGCCGACGGCAAGAAATACGTCTTCCTCATCGATGAAACCGAAAGTTGGAAACTGGCGCTTGGGTTGCAGAGGCTGAGGAAGGGAAGTCAGGTGAGGAGTTTGCAGAGCGCGCAGATGGCGCCGAATGAGATGGCGAGGGTGTTGAATGCTGTGCCGCCTATTGCTTTGTAAATCATCGATCATGAGCAGTGGGGCAGAAAGAGGAGGATGATAAGGAGAGGGGCAAGTGTTGATATGATGGCATGGTACAGTAGTATGGGTGGTGGATTTGGGATACCCACTTTCGTTCCGCATAAAGCATCAGCGGTGGAGTTGTTGTTGTTGTTGTTGTTGTTTGTTTAGCAACGCATTGTTACGAGCGCATCTTTGTACTCTTCTTTCTTTCGTTGTATATGCATCTTTGGGTAGTGGAAAATAAGAGAGATGAAGGAAGTATATATCACAACTACATATTGGCGCTGGTTTAGGGAGGTGGTGGTAGATAGGTGTTTTGGGTGTATGTAGGATGGTGAAATGGATGTGTGGCTCGTGTCTTGATTTGGGAGTTTATGTATGTGTATCGTTGTCATGTCAAGACCTTTTCGCTACGGTCATGTCATGGAGGGAGGACATCTTGCTGACATCAGGCGTTGGAGTGAACGCTATGGGACTGCACCTAAATATTCGGTTATCTACCAGAGCTAGACAAGGAGTGAGTGAAAGTGCAAATTCATTGTACAGAAACAAAGGCTTCTCGTTCCTGAATATCTAGTGCTGGTGCTAAACTTCGAGCGGGATCTAACTCAAGTACGCAACCGTGCACGACCCTGAACCGTTGAAGCTCCTTCCGTCATCCCGAAACCCCCCAAACTCCACACGTTCGCTGCTGCAGCCCAACGTCATCAGTCCACCAGCCCACCAACCCACCATCTCGACTACCCTCAATCCAGTTCCTGTCGCAATATAGTTATCGCATGCGCACGATGTCATCCGACTACGGATCAGACATTGACTCCGACGTCGCAGACGTCGTCGATGAGATTGTCTCGTCGCAGCAAGCTCCCCCTTCCTCCGCCCAAGTCCCACGAACTGCGCTAAAGCCACTCAATACCAATGCCTCCCTCACACCACCGTCATCCAATGATAAATCCGATGGAATTACTCTTCAGCAATGGCACCAAGCTGCCTCAACGCCCCCGCCCTCAGCCTCATCATCGGATGCCGAACCGTATCGTCTGACGTTTGGCAAACATGAGGGCAAGACGCTTGCGGAGATACCGGACTCTTATGTGAGGTGGTTGATTAGGAATCCGATTTCGAGTAGGCCGATGGAATTGATATATGCGTTGGAAGAGTGGCAGGAGGAGAAGAAGAATGGGAGGAAGGCGGCATCGCAAGCGTCCCAGGTGTCGATGTCGTCGCAATCGCAAGCCACATCTTCGAAGATGCCACTTTCTCCACCGCCGTCTCAAGCCTACCAGGCACCTCCTCCGTCGTCACAACCTGCGGTGACAAGCACACATGTCTCGAAATACACTTCTCCTCCTTCGCCTTCTCGCTCGCCGTCACCACCGCCTAGCACACAACAGTCATATCCTCCCTCGTCGCAAGCCATGCTACCACAGTTCGCGCCGTCGCAAACGTATCCTCCTTCCTCGTCACAGCCTACGGCGCCTCAAGAACCGACTGGTGCACCCCTATACGTCCTTCCATTCGGCGAATACAAAGGCAAGACTCTGCTCGAGGTACCAGAGGACTACCTCTATTATCTTGGTGCGAGCGAAGACAAGTTGGCTACTTTGCCTGGTTTGGCTGACGCGCTCGGCATGATGCAGAAGGGTCTACCACCAGTCGTTACGGAACCCATGGCGCCGAGTCAGGCTTCATCGCAGACTTTACCACCGCCATCATCTGAACCGCCTGCATCTAGCCAGATTTCCATGGCAAGTCAGTCGCAGCAGGCTCAGCCGCCACCTTCTACTGCGCCTAGCCATTATTCCCTTTGCAAGGACAACAAGCCGAACAGTTCGCAACCTCCCGCACCGCAGCTCTCTGCCTCGCAACCTACCCCGCAGCCTCCCTCGTCTCAACCTCCACCCCGCAAACAACCATACCGTTTCGACTTCGGCAAGCACGAAGGCAAAACCATCGCCGAAGTCCCTCCCGATTACATGGCCTTCCTGAAGAGCAAGGGTTTCACTGAAACAAACGAGACACTGGCTGCAGGCGTCGCAGAGTACGAACGCCACCACCCACCCATCGGGACGCCGCGCAAGGGCGAATACAAGTTCACATTTGGCAAGCATGTGGGGAAAACACTGGCGGAAGTGCCCTCTCAGTACATCTGGTGGCTCAAAACCCAAACGAGTATTCCCAAGGACAAACCTGAATTGGGGGCCGCTATTCGACAGCTTGAGCGGACTCAGAAGCGTACTCAGACTAAGACGCAGAATCGGAGTCGGCGGAGGGCTTGGTCACCGATGTGCCCATGTTGTGATTGAGCGCCCATTGCAAGAGTGCCTTACTCAAGACGGCACGTCAAAGTGAGCAAACACGAGGACAAACCTGCTCCGAAGCCACCCATGCTACGACCATACTGGCTGCAGGCCAGTATGCTAGTGCAAGAGATCTGTCTCAGCTCTTCGATGACCAAATCCTCCCGTCGCCCCACGAACCCACGTTTGGAAAGATTTGATTCTCAATATGATGCCTGTGGAGTGGGCTGATGTCCCAATTATCGTAGATGAATCTATTGAGATGACCAACGACAATTGTGACATCAGCTCACTAGTCAGGCATCACGTCTGGGACCAAAGCAGCACCAGATGAAGGGTGTGCAAGGCTTGAATGTGTTCCGTGGAGCGGGCTTTGTATGCAGGCTGGGATCAGCAAAGCGGGTGTTGCTCATACCAACAAAAAGTCCAGGTTGTGGCCTTCATGCATTGGAAAACCATACCATCCTTTTTGCTACGCGTCATCCAGCGCCTTCTACCATTGGCCGCGCTGTCCAGCGAGTGTGAGCATCCGGATGAAAAGCTGGGCTGACGCTATAGGTTGTAAGGTCATGCGACATGTTGCTCAGCCCCAGCCACTGGCGCGGAGGCGTCTAATCTTCAGCCTTGCGACCCAACACCCCAGATTAAAAACAGCGTCCGCTGGCTCCAAGGCCATAGCGTCCGCTCTCGACTTTTGTTCCTGGCACAAATTCTTCATCATGGCTTCTGGTCAAGCGACAACAACGTTGATCAAATTCGCGCGCTTCAAGAACGCGACCTTGGAGCTTTTCGAGGCGCCCATCGAATCCACTGATTACATCGCATTCTCTCACGTTTGGGGCGACTGGTCCTGGCGTTCCATTAACGGCGTACCGTACGAGGTGAAAGCATCTCAAGAGAAGGCAAAGTTCATCGCAAATGACCTCCCCGCCTTGGTGGGCGACGGTGCCTTTTGGATGGACACGTTGACTGTCAATCAACGAAACCCAGTTGAGGTCTTAGAGATCGTGGATGTCATCCCCGAGATCTTCAGACTGGCAAAAAAGACAATTGCAGTCAAAGAATGCGATGGATTGTACGACTGCTGCATCCAAGCTGTTGCTGGGTTCCAAGGCTGGGAAGAGTTCACCACAAGACTTTTCGAGCATAGCCATTACCATGTTGACCATCTTTGCGCTGAGTCCTACCTTCAGAGGTTGTGGACACTGCAAGAGTGCTTGCTCTCTCATACAATTGAATTCGTGGTTGGAACCGGCAGTATGTTACAGCATTCTGTTTGTTGCTCGTGTCTGACCAAAGCTTAGATCGACCAAAGAAGCTCGCGCTGCGAGAACAGGCTCGCGATGCTGTTGATGCTCTCTTTCCGCTTCCGTCAGGAAGCGAAACTCTCGCGAGTGCTCTTTTCATTCTAGCCCAGTCTTTCTGCGGCTCTATTGGCGAAAACGCCATAGATGAGTTCCTCAAAGCTTATGTTCATGGTGGGACCGTTGTCAATCCACACAGTGCAAAGCGTGGCGCAGATGAAGACATCCACTCGAATGGTTTTGTAGAGGCAAATCGAGCATCTCACAGATCTGCTACCATGCCTCGCGACTACATCTTTGCAACCATGCCCTCTTTCCCATGGTATACATATCCGAAGAGGGATGCCTTCTCAATGTCATTTGGGGAGATCTATTCGGATCTTTACCAGCAAGCTGATAGATCTGGACATGCCTTTACATGCAGGTTCACTCGTTCCATGCTCGATCCCGCATGCATAGATCCCACGGACGGCTGGCGACCAAGTAAACATCTTCCAAGTCCGTCGACTCTTGGCGATTTCCTCAAACTAATGGGACAACGCGTCTCCGAAGCTTCCAATGCTTCTTCACCGCATGTACACGTTACATCGGCTGTAAAAATCGAGGAGTTAGAGGATGAAAGCTCGCCGGACAGTCTCATCGCCCGGCTAGAAGCTAGTTTCGAACATTTCAGAGGACAGTGGCTGGAGTCTCACACAAGTGGTGAGCTTACAAAATTCGGGAATGATCCTGACTTTTCATGGACGCTCAATCACGCTGATGCTACGAGATGTGGTTGGGTTCCTATTGACACTGAGTATGCGACACGAGTGTACGACGAGTGCGACCAAATTCGGTCGAAGATCGGCCCCGGACTAGGATTCGAGGAGGGCGATTGTGAAACGGACTTCAGTAGCCTGGACGAGACTGAGCAAGAAGCCAACATGGATGAGGCTGGCGAGTACGTACCACTCTTTGTGCAGGCCAGGAAAATTCTCGCCCGCATATGGCACGCACGTGTGAGGCATAGCAACCGTGGAGCCCAAGATAAAGTGTGGGGGGCCTTCAAGCAAGGGATGCAAGGCCTCTGGTCATTACCACTGCTACGTTCTATAATTCTCCTTGCCGGCATGGTCAACTGCCGCATTCCATTGTCTGCCATAGCGTGGATCAACAAGCTCTTCGTCCCCGTCTACATCCGCCACAGCGAAGAACTGCTTTCCGTTGGTTTCTTAGCAAAGCACGCACGTCAGCCTAAACAACAGCGAACACACCCTTTGTATCTACTGTGCGTTGGCCAACACCTGCCTTTGCCCGGCGAGAAGGGTTTCGGACAAGACTTATTTCTCGTAGACCCGGGAACCAAGGTGCCGGTTGGCCTGGTTCCGGATGTGATGCCTGACCAGTGCACGCTTGAGACATTCGTCAGGACCGCGCGTTCCTTGTATAATGGGAACTATACGGATTTAGGAGAAAACAAAATGTTCATCACTCCCCGTCTGCTCTCTGATGAGCCGTTTGTCCCCAGGGAGGCTTTTGTTGCGAATCTCCAGTAGGCGGTGGAGTGTGGTTGCCAATGACGGGATTGTGTATAGCTGTCGAATAAAACTGAACAGCTCAGAGATGCTCTCCTCTGTGTACGATGTGCGGTAGAAAGTCCCGATTAACTCCGATGAATCCAGAGTACTTTAGCGCGCTCTTGAACGCCCTCTGTCCGGGGTTTTTCTACACCCCAACCATTCACTGTCATTCCGGAGAAAACATGTTCCGAGCAACTAAGTACTCGCAACCGCTCCACGACCGTTTGCTCAACCGCTTCTCACTCAATCGCTCCTACCTCAACCGCCTCTCACTCACCCCGCAGCTGCAATGTCTAATCCAATCTATACACGTCGTGGATATTCACTCCTTCCTCGTGGTTTGCCAGTCTCCGCATCGCAGGCTACTCCAGCGAATAGTAAGTGCGCACCCTATTCTTACCTTCTACATACCCTTTCTGACTATGCACCTAGAGATGGCAGTTGAAGGACATAGCAAGTTCATGGATCCCGCGTCGAACGTGTCTAGTAATCCGTTTCACAAACCGCGCCCTATCGAGTCGGAGTCCGCCGAGAAGCTTGAGGCGCAGAAGGCCGACTACGAGGCCAGGATCGCCGACATGAGCAAAGTGTACCAGGCCAACTTAGAGAACACCATCAAGGACTACGAGGCCAAGCTCAGCGAAAAGGAGAAACTCCAAGAGATCGAGATTGAACGCGTGAGGGACTTCATCGGGCATGATGTCGTCGACATAAAGAAAAAATCCGAGACCAAGCTCAACCACCTCGCCGAGAACTACGAGGCCAAGATTGCCCACTTAGAGAGCGAATCGCAGTCCAAGCTCGAGAACACCATCAAGCACTACGAGACCAAGCTCTACGACCAGAGGAAATCCGAGCTCACGCTCAAGGGCATACAAACGGACTACAAGACCAATATTGCAGAGATGGAGGAATATAATGCCAAGCTTTGTCACTCTATCAGCGAGCACAAGACCAGGGAGAGCGATATGAAAAAGCAGTACGAAACCAAGCTTAACGACGAAAAGAAACACTGCGACTGGCTGCTCAAAGAAATAAAGGGTGAAGTAGCCGCCACAAATAGCTCTTAAGATATCTTGCTAACTTATTACTAGTATGTAGCTCCTTTGCTATGCTTTCCTAACGCAGTGCTAAGACATTTTATAATTCATGCTAATAGCTTGACAGAAGAACTATGAGATCCAAATCGACACGATCAAGAAGGAACACGCACTAGAGTCTGAAGCCGCGCAGGAGGACTACGAGGCCGACCTCGACAGGCTCAATCAGAGCTCTGCGATTCTGCAACGTGCTTTCGCCGACCAGAGCTTGGAACTTGCAGCGCTCAAGGAGACAAAGACCAAGGAAGCCGACTTCCTCAGCAAGTCTGCCCAGCCAGACGCGGAAGCAAAAGATGCAGGCCTGCTCGCTGACAAGAAGCCGGATACCAATGACAAGAAGCCCGAGATCGACGCCCTCAAAGGCACTATCGACGCCCTCAAGGACACCGTCAGTATACAAATGGTAGCCGCAGAAGATCTCCGCGAGACTGTCAAGGACCTCCGAGAGCGCAATGCAAAGCTCGAAGCAGAGCTTCAGAAGAAGTAGGGTGAGACCCGACAGCTCGGCGCTGACACTCTCATGACAACTGGGTAACCCTGGAGATTCTCCGTGTAGCTACAAGATGGTCGTAGAGTATGAAAATGCTGTAACTAGTTTCAACTTCTTTTGACGACACCGTGAATCACGTAAGTTCTGATGTGCAGTGTGGATGTATCAAGCCGACGCCTAGACGTAAAGACGCTGCGACGATTGGTAGACTCCCCTAGATATCGACGAAACTGATAGATATGGGACCGCACGTGTGAGTCGCTTGACGTACAGAGTCAGCAGTGACTACTGGTCTCACACGTTAGCAGCTAATACATGAGGACTACATCTTCCTCCTCTACCGCATAACACTAGCAGAAGCATCTCCAAACTTGCGCTCATATCTCAAACTTGAAGGTGAACGAGATTTAATTAGCTCCTCGCTTGATCCGCTGCGCACTGTCAGATTCCAGCTTTTCCTGCGTCCGTTTCTCCCTCCACCGACTCCGGGTCACTGGTTCCTCCGCACCACAAAGCCGCTTAAAAACCCATCCAGCCAAGTCGAGCGACCGCACCAGGCCTACTGTACCGCCATCTCGGCTGCGCATCTTCGAAATCTCAGACGAGGTTTTCACAATCACAGTGACCCCCGACACAACCCACTACTTCACCGTCGCCAACCGCCTACAATGGCCACGATGAACACCACACCTTTACTCAACACGCGTGCCCCCGCTTTCAACGCCATTGCTGCTCGGGTGCAAGGCGCGGATGCGGACGATGAGGACATTCTCGAGCGGGATCAAGAGACAGACGATGAGGCGAGTGACGACGAGGTCATCGGCGAATTCGATGAAAGCGACGTTGGAGACATGAGCGACGACCACGGCTCATCAACACCAAGCGTCAACACCCCAGTAGTATCCTTAGACTCGGACGACACAGCGTTCACACAGGACGTACTGAACCCGGAAGACCTGCCCGCCTTTGGTAAGTCATAATACTAGAGTCCCAGTCTTTCGCGTGCAGAATGCATGATCACTAACAGAGATGACTTAGGCGACGATCTTGACACCACCAAATGGACGAAGCTCGCACTCTGGCAAGAAGGCGGATACGAAGGCATGCTGAACGTACTTCTGAGCGATGAGATCGCGGCTCATTATCACGACTCTGCTACAGCATCAAACACGGATGAGCAGTGCATCCTCAGTCCGGCGCGCATGATGGTCGCTTCTATGGATAAGGATGTTCTCAAGGTCGTGATACGCGGTAATCTGGCTGTCCAAGCGAGGAGCGACAGTGTCATCAAGGACCGCTTGGATGAGTTGTACGTCGAGGCCAAAGACAAACCGTCGATCTACTACCAGCTCTTCGTCGACGACAACGGCCGATCTCCTACGCCAAACGAACTCGTCACCATTGTAAATACTATGGAAGAATACGTCAGCGCTACGAACCACACCCTCGCGAACGAGATCGACAACGTCAAGACACCACACGTCGATCTGCTCAAAAGCCAGAGTGGCTTTAGGAATTACACATGGACCAGCTCAGGAACAAAGGAAGACAACACATACCGCGAGTTCCAGTCCGCCGCTAGGGTCAAAGAGATCACCCGCCTGATCAATAAAGTACGAGCGCGACTAAGCGGCTTACCGCCCCAGCACCAGAACAAGCCATTGAAGCATCCACTCGTTCACGTCGGATATTCAAACCGCTCCCAGGCCCGCCTGAAGAAACAAGCCAACCACTCGTGCTCTCACCCCGCCATGAACCTCGCCGAAGCAATCGCTGCCGTACTCTTCGCAAACAACACTCTTCCCAAACTATACAAGATGACCCAGTACATCATCTACATCAGCCACACCGCCTCCCACGCCTCGCTTTCCGAAATCCTACTGACCAGGCTGGCCGAGGGCTACATGGGTAACGGAGGAGGTTTCAGCCACTATCCCGCAGCCCGAAGCGCCAACTCTGCGCTCAAGACTTCGGAGCAGGAATGGGACAACTGTGCTCAGTATGCAATTGAGCAGTCGCCTCTGAGGAAAAACCTAAAAAGCGATATCGAGAGGTTGAAGAAGAAACTCGCTGATACGCAGGGAAAGAAGCCGAGTCAGCTTATGAAGTCCGCCAACCACGCGTTGCTCGCAAGAGCGAAGGAAATGAATGAGAGGACAAAAGCTAAGCGGTCGGAAGAGGATCCAGAGAAACACCAGAAGGCTGCTGACGTCATTGCAGAGTTTCGGAAACGGCATCCGATCCCGGAGGACGAGGATAGTGTGTGAGCATTCGAGATTGTATGGGTGGTGGAACTGAGAGCGTGGAAACAAAAGCGATGATTTGAGCCTTTCGCTCATTAACACAGCGATGGAATGACAGTTGTGCAGTGTAGATGAATAAAAGATACGGAATCAATTGATGGTGCTATGGTTTCGGACAGTGTCGAAAGTGACACGTTAACCTAATGGAAAAAGGACACCCTAGAGCCTACGTAGACGTTAGACTAACTACTTTGTGAGTTTTTATCTGACTGTAGTCTATAGACTTATTTAGTATTATTTATATATAAAGTAGTAAGATGCCTACGTTAACGTGAGGTTACCCACTTTGCATGTGTTTGTCTTGATGTAGTCCGCAGACCTGTTTAGTTTTATTCGTATATGAGGTGGTGAGATGAATGTTAGAGGAACAACGACGCTGATATATCACCATGAGTAAAGCGAGTGAAGTAAATGAAGAGGAGATATTCTTGCATTGGTATTGAGTACATCTAGTCGTCTCGTCGTCCATATTCCTTCCTTATCCCACCTATTTCCATCCGTCCATCCATTCCACCCCTCCTATTTACCCTACCATACCATACAGTCCATGTACATCCGACATGTATTTTGGTCCCTTGAGCCATCCGCCCTGGTCTATCTAGATATACAGCGAAAGCGTTTTGGCGTCGTCGGTATGCGTAAAGTACATGCCCATCCACCTCACCTCCCCGAGTTGTTGCCCAACCAATCCAAAAACTCCAAAGAATGCAAGCCGAAGCCATGCCAAAAAGCCAGATTCCCATGAATCAAAAGAGAAAGCGCATCAGATTCGTAAGAGCTGCTGCTAAGATGTTCTGCAGGTATGATACAGATCGTTATCGCGCAAACAACAGCACTTTTTATGGTATGTATACTTTTGGCGTAGCTTCGTAACAATATCAGACAACGTCAAAAACATGACATAGCAAGTTTAACGCTTCCTGGGGTTCGTCGGCTTCTTCTTCGACGGTGTTTTCTGCGCGTCACCCTCAATGTACTTGAGGAGGTCCTCGATCTTGCGCTGGTCAACGCGGCCGCTTCCAGTGCGCTGGCTACCGGCGGCGGCAGCGGCATCACTAGCGGAAGGCGTCGCGGCAGCGGGTCGCAGGGGGTTGCGGCCGGGAAGCTGCATGCGGCGGATACGCGTCTTGGCGAGATCGTTGAGCTGCTTGGCTTGAGAGACAGCGCTGTGGGTGAGCTGTTCGAGCCAGCTCTCCGCCTCCTTGGTGTTGCGATCCTCTGCACCGAGCACCTCCTTGAAGATGTTGTAAGACTCGCGCATGCGGTTGACACCACCGCGCATGTCCTTGTCGAGAGCGAGAGCTTGCGCGGTCTGGAACAGCAGAGTCGCTGTGTTGATCGAGTTCTTGCCGCAGACTTCCTCGCAGACGGCGAGCGAGGCCTCGAACCAGAGTCGCGATTCGTGGTACATTTTCGCGGCTTGCAGCATGACAGCGGCGTTGTTGAGGGTTGTGATGGAGTCGGGGTGGTCGGGACCGTAGAGGATCTTCCAGAGCTCGAGTGCGTGACGAACGTAGATCAGAGCGGCTGTGGTGTTACCCGAGCCGTGCTCGAACAGGCCGACGTTGAGGTAGGCAAGCACAGTCTCCGAGTGGTCGACACCGAGAGTGCGCTCCGACACGATGATCGCTTTGTGTGCAAGCTCAAGAGCAGAGACCTTGTCGTCAAGGCTGTAGAGCAGGTTCGACAGGGTGTGGTAAGCCTTGGCTACCTCAGGGTGCAGCACACCATAGATCTGCTCGTGCAGCTGGAGAGACTCCAGGAGTAGCTCTTGGCCAAGCTCCTTCTGGTCCTGGGCAATGGACATGCGACCAGCCTCCAGTGCCTCCTCAGCCAACAAGCTCTTAGGTGAAGCCTCCTTGATGACAGGGACGATGTTCAGAATGTCGTCTGCGTGGAAGGTTTGTGGAGCAAGAGGGACAGTGGGGCTTGCCGTACGGGCTGGTGGGGTGCTGATGGACTTGTTCTTCTTCTTCTTGGAAGATGTGGAGTGACCGTTGGTCTGCGGCGCAGCGGGCTTCTCGGCCGGTTGGCTGGCGGCAAAGGCCTCCTTGGTGAAGGCGTACGGCTTGCACTCCAACTGGAGACCAAGCTTGAGGGAGACCTCACGGAGCATCTGCATCTCCTTGCCAGACTCGATCCACGACTGACTGAGGTCGTAGCGGAATCGTAGGGCAACCTGAGCTACGACCTCCTTCTTGAGGGCCTCCGGTGTGAGCTTCTCGAAGCTAAAGTCATCCTCCGGGTACATCTTCTTGAGGCTGCTATCGCACTCAGCCACAGGCTTAGCGCTTACATCGGCTCCGAGCAAGCAGTTGAGGAGGTGGGCGGCTGCGGGTGCTGCGAAAGGCGCGGACACGTTGCGCAACTTGGAGTTGGCAAAGTGCTTGAAGCCACGTGCAATCATCTCCTGGATGATGAGACGCTTCAAAGCCTGAAGTCTTGGGTCAGGCTTGTCAGCCAGCTCAGCAAGCTTTCCAAGGTAGCGCATGTTCACACCCCGCTTGTGCAGAAGGTTGCTCAGGGACTGGCCGTCCATTGGGAAACCGACTTCGCCCTCCTTGAGCTCCTGGACCATGCGAGGAATGACCTCCGCAGTAAGGTGCTCGCAGGCAGCACGGACCTCAGCCTCGTCCTGAGCCCATTCCTTCTTGTCCTCCTCCGATTGCGGGTTCTGGCCGGAGAAGACATCAGGGTTGAGCGCGAAGGAGAATCCGGAAATGTCGACACGCTCCTGCTCAGGGTCCTCAGTCTCAGGCTTCTTCTCGGCGTCGGCGGTCTCCTTCTTGGCAACCTTGGCAGCCTTCTCCGCGGCCTTCCTCTCCGCCTTGGAGATCTTCTTGGCCTTGGGCGGCTTCTCCGCCTCTTCGTCAGAGTCCTCCTCTTCCGAAGAAGACTCCTCCTCAGATGACTCCTCTTCCGAAGATTCCTCTTCAGATGAGCTCTCTTCAGCCTTGGCCTCCTTCGCAGGGGCCTCGTCCTTCTTTGTGGTCTTCTTGGCCATCTGCTCCTTGACGTATTCGCGTAGCTTGACCCTTCCGTATGACTCCACGAGTTCAGGGCGGAGTGTTGTCATGCGGTGGGGGTAGTCCTTGTCTGTCGCTTCCTTCTCGCCCTCCTTGCTGGGCTCGGTCCAGTGTGCCTCTATCCAAGCAACGTCGAGGGGTGTGAGGCGGTAGAGGTCCAGAGCGTACCGCCTGCCGTCGGTGCCGATCAGACCCTTAGTCTCAACACTTCCCTCAAGCTCATGACGGACATTGTCCTTGTCCCATACAGGATGCTTCTTGACGCGCAGCGCCTTGGAGAGCTGCTCGAACAGCGGGACGAACGACTTGTCATCAGCGACAATCTCCTTGCCCTCAACCGCACCGTAATCGATCTGGTGCTCGCCGGGGTCGCGCTGCTTGAAGATTCCGGGCACTATGCTCTGGCCAACAATGCGCTTTCCTTGGTAGTCGACGACGACGGTTCCGGAGGTGAAGAGGTTGTTGATGTCGAGGTTGTTCACTGCGCGGACACCAAACACGTCCTTGCCCACAGCCACGCGTGCAGCCTCGTCACCACCCTCAGCGCCGAATGTGCCAACGCCATCAGCGCCGAAGGAGTAGAAGATGTTGTTGTATACGAAGATCTGCGCGTCCTTGGCCTCGGTAGGGTTGAGGGGCGCAATCTCGCCCCGTGCTACCAACATGGCACCGCGAGTCGCAGCATCGTTGTAGTCGGCAAACAGCTTCGAGGTGAGGCGCTCGCGGAAAACGCGGTCGTGGACAGCCTCCTTGGGCATCTCCCTCGTCGACTGGAACTCTTCATTCCAGTCGCGGAGGGTCTCGGTGTTCTCAACACCCGAGATCAGATAGCTCTCCTGTGTCCTCGCGAGATCTGGCTGGTGTGGGGTGAGGGATGACGTGGGTGCGGGCACCAACCATGGGTTGGCGGGGATGGCGTTGGAGAGCTGGAAGATGGTAAGCAGCTCCTTCTTCGCATTGTGCTCCAACAGTTCCTGGAAGGAAGTGCGGAAAGATGGCGACAGGTCCTCGAGGAGAGTGAGGAGCGAGTGTGCCTGCTTGTCCTTGGGTGGCTGTCGCGGGAAGGGGTCGAAACTGGCATTCGACGACTTGTTGACGTAGAAGCCAGAGACGTGAGCTGTGATGTGGTGTTGCTCGTTCTCGTTGGTCATGACTACCAGGTACAGCAGGTGGCCCTTGGAGCGAAGGTGGTATGGCGGGGGATTCCAGGGCGATACGGCGATGGATTTGATCGTCTTGGGCGCGGCTTCCTCGGTGGGCGGCAGCAGATTCTTGATGTTGCCCGATGCCTTGAAGTCGTAGTCTGCCAATGGCGACTGCTCAGGGCCGTCCTGCTTGGGTTTGGAGATCTGCTCGTGGCCGACGGTGTCGTGCAGTGACAAGCCTGCCATGATGCCGTGCAGCGCATCCGTACGGTCACCGGCAGCGCCGATGAGCTCCCGAACGCGGACCACATGTAACCGCGCCTCCTTCTCTGTGTATGGGTCCTCCACCAGGGTGAGTACCGAATCGGCCTTCAGTCCCTCGACTTCAGAGAGTTCGACGTAATCGTTGATGCGCTTGCCGTCGTGCTCCAGGTGGAAGCACGAGTATTGGAACGTGTGGGGCGTTTCGATGATGCTCTGACGGAGGTCTTGCACCTGCTCGGCCGTTGAGATCTGGAGTCGTGAGTTTATCGTCTATATTTTCTTTTCTATCTCTCAATACGCACCGTTATCGGCATCTCGAACGGCTCGTGTGGGAGCTTGATGGTGACCTGGAAGATGTCTAGATACGTAAGTATACATCCTATACATATAGCAAGTCAATTGACATACTGTCTGGCTGCTGGCCAGCGCCATCTTCCTCTGTGCCCTCATTCTGCCCCTCTGTGGTGACGTCTTTGCTGGGCGTCTTCTCGACCTCTGCATTACCATTGATGTCAGCCATGGTGTGCAAAAAGAGTTATTGCGCCTCGGAATAAATTTCCATCGCTGTCGTGTGCGGGCGGGAAGCTCACCAGACTTGGAAGCGTCATTGGTACTAGCGGCCATGATGGCGGGCTGTGGATATGTCGAGAAACACTACGACGCCGGGAAAGAACGACTGGGGAAAGAGGGAATCGGTCTAGGGAAGGAAGGAGATATACAGGAATGGCGCATTAATGTACAATGACATGCGGCGAGTGATGGGGAGAGAGGTGACTCTCCGGTCATGTCTCCAGAATATTTTTCTTGAGGGCGCCGGGATGGTCCGCTAAGCTCGCTCTCCACTTCCGAGGCCACAGGCATGTCATCGGGAAAACGGCCCCCATGCACCGGGGTCAGCAGTATCGCGTTTTATTCCGGAGTACTGGAGTTGCCATGTCCTACACGTCGTGTCTATCTTCACGCCGGTTATCGATATGGTGATTGACGCGAGTTCCACCATGCTGTCACCACAGTCGCTCCTGCCGTTCGCACTTGGCATTCGCACTTGGCCCCTGCGGCGAATTATCGCAACACCAGCGTAACAAGGCCGCGGTACCTCCTTTGGCGTCTCTCTCCTCCAATCTCATCCCGTCCATCTCAATCATCTCTCCTTTCACGCGTCTGTCTCTCGTTTAACTTATCTTCACTCCTTATTTCTTATTCCATTGATTCTGGCAGGCCTGCGTTTGACACGTGTAAAGCACGCGACACCAACGTAACATTGGACGCGCCAACGCAATAATGTTAATGCTACGACACATTACGCGCGCTCATGCCGCGTTGACACGACAACCTTTCGCGTATCGGTCTCAGCAGGCTGGTCCGGTACTGCAAAGAACAAGGTTATGCCAGCCCTCATTGGCGCGCGCTCTGAGTGGCCAATCCGGTCCTCCGACTCCTGGCAACGATGCGCCAAACCCCATTGACGACGCTGCAGAGCGTCTAGAGGAAGAGGAAGAGCAGCAAGAGGAGAAACGCGAGAAAAAGAAGGCAGAATGGAAAAGCACAGCCTGGAAGATGTTTGAGGCTGCTGCTACTACCGGAGCCAGCATCTTCATCCTTGGATGCGTCGGCATTGGTTATACTAAGTACTACAAATGGAACGTGCTTGAAAAGATGGAGAACGCTTTTCGGGAAGGCGATCCTGTGTTAGAGCTTGCAGCTACCGGAAAGGAGATGCCGAAAGCGGGTGAACCTACGCGACTGCAAGTTACCAAAGACGTGGACGGTGATGACAAAGACTATGACCGCTGGATCCCACGTGATGAGCAGGAAAAGATAGACAAGATCGTCTGGGGCGAGACAAAAGGACGTTACCATCTGCTTCTTGGCGAGAAGGGGACTGGGAAGACTTCCATGCTCATCGATGCCATGGATAAGATCAATGGTGAGGGATGCTCGATGATGGAAGCCCATGCAGATCTCGAAGTCTTCCGTGTACGACTAGGTCGCTGTCTCGACTTTGAGTACCACGAGGACAACATTGGATCGCTATTCTCGATTCGTGGTCCTCGCGATGCGGGCGCCATCCTTGACATTGAGCGTGCGTTCAACAAGCTCGAGAAAGTGGCTTTGCGACGACGCGCAACTGTCGGCAGACCGCTCATTCTCATTATCAACTCCGCACATTTGATCCGAGACAATGACGACGGCCGAGACCTGCTCGAACTCATCCAGCAGCGGGCAGAGCAATGGGCAGCCGCCAACCTTGCAACCGTCATCATCAACTCGGACAAGTACTGGGTGTTTGAACGGCTAAAGCAGTACGCGACCCGCATGGAAGTGCATCAAATCAAGGACCTCAGCAAAGACCGGGCCATGCAAGCCCTGCGCAACTACCGGATGAAGTACTACGGCGAGAAGGTACAAGACTCCATCCTTGAAGAAGTATACGATAAAGTCGGTGGACGCCTCACCTTCCTCAACCGCGTCGCCAAGTCCGAAGACATGGTTGCAAAATGCAACAGCATCTGCGAAATGGAGAAGATATGGTTCTTAAACAACTGCGCGATTCTCGGTGAGGAAATGGACGACGATGTCATGGACCAGCAGAAATACGCTGTACGTATACGAGTATTTCCCTCTTAATATTTTTGACTAACCCACACAGTCCACAGCCATGGTCCTAGCCAACGCCCTCTACAAACTCTACCACGACATGGAATCAACCTACGACCCAAAAGAAGGCCACATCCTCCCCTCCTTCCCCCTCCACCGCGCCCGCTTCATCATGACACGCTCCGACTTCATCCGCCAGCACCACGACCTCTCCATCTTCTCCATCGACTCGCACGCCGTTGTCCGCGCCGACTCCGTACCCATGCAACGTGCCTTCAACGAGATCTGCGCCGAACCTGGGTTTGAAGACTTCCTCGAAGCGACGCTGGAGCGTATCGGTGCGATTGAGAGTCTCGGCAGGACCAAGGAACTTACGTTCAAGGATCTCTGGGAGGGAGGGAAGTATAGGATTGTGCAGAAGGATGGAAAGGGGAAGGTGCAGGGCGAGGTGGAGATGGAGACTGTGCCTGGGAAGGGGGATGATGATGACGATGATGAGAAGGATGATTGAATAAGAGGTTCATTGAGATGTTAGGACGACTGGCTATTATGCGTTTGGATGTACGATATGGGTATGGGCGGCTGGTTTGAATCTGCGTGGCGCTGGTGTCTACTGGGAAGCCACGATACCCTAGAATGTCAGTTTCCTTATCTATCTCCCTTGTCATGTTGCAATCCCTAGTGAGAGGGATGGCGGTTGTTTGCTGCCCCACTCTGGCTCAACACACATCGCTAAAAACTCCGATATCTCTTTTCAACCTACTCAAGTCTGTCCAAAATCACTCGGGCTTTCTGCTCAGCCCACCATGAGGCTCTCTTTAACGCTCATAGCTGTCATGGCTTCGATCGCTCTCACCCAAGATATAGCCAGCGATGAGCCTACCAAGGTACACGTCCTGTGGGAACCAGAGAAGGCCGCGGATGACGCAGAATGGGCTGCAGCCCGCCAGAAGGGAGATGATTTGATATGTCGACTCGAAGCCACGGACGAGGCTGCTGGTAGACTAAATATGGACACACGAACACCGCCTTCGGCGCGCAATCAATGGCCCGATGCCGCGCTCACAAGTGAGATAAGTCTCTGGGGTTGGTTCACTGGCGAATATGACCAAAAAGTGCATTGCCAATTTGCCGATGATAACGAAGATTACCATGTCAACAAGGTCGGTACGTCGATTGCGCGAGGGCATTTATCACTAACCTCCTCGAAAGTCTTCAGGATTGGATATCGTTCTCGATAGATACTGACCTTTTATAGGAACTATGTTCCAGGATCTTGGTATCAATTCCAGGCCCCGTACAAAAGGCGGAGATAATGTTTGTTACAGCATAGAACACTACAACGAGCGCGCCGAAGATGACGATGGAGACACTCTTGCGGCGCAAAACCAGTACTACGACATCAATGGTGTTTGGGAGCGGTGTACCGGTGCGCATGTTCGATTCGGTATCAATCAACGAGGCGGACGTAAGTATCTCCGAGTGGACGTAGACTCACCTTCGTGCGCTACCGGCTCTACTCACGCACACCATACTAGGAGACATACTAACAGCTCAAAGTGATCATTGGTCTCGACTTTCTCAACCCTAGAACAGCAGCACTGGCAAATTGGGATGACAGCCCAGCAGAAGCTAGCCTCCCGGAGCTCAAGCGCGCCTCGGACATCATGATGGCGTACTGGCTTCGCGGCAATATTGACCCCAAAAGCCTCAAATATTATCTTGTGCTCACCATCGAGAATACGATGACTCTCGCTCTCATCAACAGAGTGTTGAAGAATCATGGTCTCAAAGAGGTACCGTACTGGCCTGGTATAATAGCCAACATGTACGACGAGGAAGGCCCGGCGTTGCTTGGTGAGTAGTCTTGAGCACCTTACATTGCCCAGGAGCAAACAGGACGGAACCAGTCCTGGCCTACTCCCATACGACATTCAAGGGTTGTGGGTGGTAACGACGCTGACGCACCCCAGGCTCTCCATTGGGTCGCACGCTCGCTTTCTTGCTTTTCCAACATAAGGCAGAGCTGGGTACCAAGCATGTCACTGAAATTGTGATCTTCAGAAACAATTATCCCAGGCATTTGAGAGTCGGTGTACACTTGTTGTTCAGGATCAAAGACGTCCCTAATCCGGCCCCAGCCCCAGGCACAGCTTCATTCCGGTCTCTGAGACTTCGAAGTTCGGTTCTGGACGATGGGCGGAGGAATAGGATATATCTACACGAAATCCTCCAAGATAACAGAGCTCTTGTTATGGGGAGCGCATAGATGAGTGGGGTGGAGAGAGGCGTTGTCGGCTATGTCACAGAGGTCAAGATGTTGGGTGAGGCCTATACCACATAGTTGGATCTGGGTTTCGTGGCTACAGAACCCGGATTAGACAAGACACTCGAGAAAATACCTAGGTATTGTCCGTGGGTAGACTCACAGCTCATATGCCTCGAAGGAACTGACTCTGCTCGAGCAGTTGTCCTGCGATGACGTGCGTGACATCCAAACAGCGGACATATCTACCGCACTCACATCCTTCAAAATCGTGTGACATCAAGCCCCTTGCGTGCAGAAAGCGCAACAAATGACGTGAACGCCCCACCCGTGCACTAAGCATCCTCGCTAAGCAAGTCCCCACCGACATCCCGCTCGATGACGTCGCACCCACCCTCTTCCCAACCACATTTCCCAATCACCTTTGAACTTTCCCATCGTGATCTTTTCGCCGACCCCAGCCGAGACGCTGATTAATACTGCTTTCGCACTGTCATTCGTGGGTCTGGGGCTGCGCGCGGAAGTGATAAGCTTCTGCGAAGCAACGATGGCGTAGGATCGACGCTAGCACCGCGACGGTTGGCGGGTGCTTGTTTCCCTTGTGGACTGGGCGGGTCTGGAGACGGATTTAACATTGAAGGTTTTCGATTGCGTCG